CTTGCCAGCCCGCTCAGAGATGTGTATAAGAGACAGACCCGGATCTTTAGCTTATAAAGCTACCGCGCTGCTCCTCGCGCCACGATGGCCACAGGATAACATCCAGCCTTGAAAAAATCAATTTTTTCTTTTAAAGTAAATAATATAAACCGATAAAGATATGAAAAAATGTTTTAAATAAAAGTTTTACGACTTCAAGTGCACTTTGTGGCGCGTTTTAATTTAAAGAAATCATATTTTTTACTATCTCTTACCCTCCCGTCCTTAATTTTCAAAAATTTTTCAATTTTTATAAAGATAAAAATTAAAATGCATTTTACGCTGAAAACAACGGTATATGATATAAGATCAGATAACATCTTTAGGAAATGAGTGAGAAACATCTCTATATGCGCGCTCTGTACATACGTATTCGTCTCATCTCATTGGCTGCGTGTGATAGCGTTGAAGACAATACAGAATTCATAAAAAAGAAACAAGAAACAAGAATTTTTTATAATAGTAACAAGAATTATTTCTATCTAATAATAAGAAGTTATTATTATTATTATTATTATTATTAATGTAGTAAGCTTGTTATAAACTGCTAAAACTGCTGATTGGGCGATCGATGCTTTCTAAGGTGCCCACAGTATGCAGCACGCCGTGAAACACCCGTCTCAAGTCCGGCACGGATTCACTCTTCAATCTTGGTAGAGCGCGGGTGAAGGTCGCAAAGCAGGACCTTACCAACAAGCGCTTGTTCGCACACCGTTCGGCAAGCATGTTCCACGCGCGCGAGTAATTTTCCGCTGTGGAGGTCAGATTACGCACCAACTGCTCTGCCTCCCCCTTCAAGCACGTTTTTAGATTAGTGGAGTTTTTCTACAGTGCAGCATTTTTGCCGACGATCGAGCGGAAAAGGCCTTGAAGGCCGGCCACTTCTCGTATTTCCCGGAGAAGGAGAGGAGCTGGAAGTGTCTTCCGGGGGTTACCTCCTCCGCTACCTGCTCCGTTGCGACAAGCCTGGCCTCGATCTGGAGCTTCGCGAGCAAGTCGACCAGCACGGCGCGCTGCACTATATAGCTTTCTTCCACCTGCTCGAAGCACGCGGACTTGACATTTCGCGGTCACTGATGAGCTTCCAGTGGTCGGATCGCAGCGTGTCGTGTGTGCTTTCAATTTCGTCCAGTTCGAATCGAGGAGTCTCAGCCTCGTGTCCATCGCTCCAGGCGTGATTTTCGCCGTCCTTCTTCAAATTCTCCATTGTACGGGCGATACAACCCTGCAGTTCTTGCTGGCTCAGAAGTAGGTTCTCCGCGTCGAGACTCATTGTTCGTTTCCGTCGCGATCACCGCTGTCACGATCCCATCATTTACACCAGTCACCACGCGAGAAAATGCCGAGGTTTGCACCGGTACAAAGAGAAAACCTACCTGGCTCGAAGGACCAGAATGTTTCTGATACGGTTGACGGGATTTCGTGAGTAGAAAGATCAAAACGGAAGTTTAACGCAGTCTCTTTGGCGACACAAAAAACGTTTATTATTTACACTACTAGCACTATAGACGCGCGCGCTAATTAATTGCACTTTTATTTTTTCCTATAATTGACTATAATTATACATCAACCTCAATACATATGTACAATTATCAAAAGTCAATGTAATGACAGCCGCTCACGAAGTTAGCGCAGCGAGAGAACCAATCAGCGTCGCGGAAAAGAGTCAATAATCAGCCTCTTCAGCACAATCGAATGAGACTTGCGTAGAAATTATCTCCTGTTTAGTCGCTAATTAATCACGCAAATCTCGATTTTTTCACCGCAGCCGTTTCAGAAAAAAAATATCAAACCTTTGATACAGTGTAGACCGTTGGGATAGATGGACGTTTAAACGGATCGTGCGGTTCCGTCATGCTTACATTGTTGATATTAATGACATTTACATGCATGTGATATTGATATTTTCATGTATTGTTTGCGCTTTCACTCGGGTCGACGGACAAGACATGCCGAAACGTTATTGGGCAATGTCAGATTTTTGCGACGCGAACGATCGTCGGCTTCGTCGGTTTTGAGAAATCGGTCTGTATTATGTTGGATAATTTATAATTGCGTAATGCAACTGAAGAATTAAGAAAATTTAATATTGAACAACTTTATATAAATATTTTAAATAAATTATTCAAATATTGAGTTCTTTAAAAAAAAAATACTTTATGAAGTACGAGACATCTTTACTGTAAGTTTTATCAGAAAAACAATTATAATAATACGTTTTAAGAAACGAAACATGCGAACGCTTTTATCTGCGAACATTTAAGATAAAGCATGATAAAAAATATCAATTTTTCTGATAAATTCTTGAAGAAAAATTAAAAACAAAACTACAAGAACTACAGTTAAAAAACATTCAAATAAGCGTTTGTCTAAAAACTTTATACGTGTTTTTAAAAAATCTATTAAACTTGATCATTTATTGTAGCATTACAGCAGTAATTCACATTCGTAAAAAGTTAAAAATATTCAATACTAAAAAATTATGATAAAAATTATGGAAATATAAACAAATTATATGCAATAAAATGCTCTGCTATCAGTTATAATGACATTAAAGTGAAGAACGTATAGCTACGTTTATGCACTATCAATGCAAAAAGATTGTAGTGTGAAAGAAGCATTGCCACAGCTCATAGCAAATGTCACAATCTTCTCGCTGAAAATTGTAATTTTAAAGAAAAAACTAGTTATTTTTTTTTTTTAAGAATATAGCAGAAGATAGACATGCAGAGTGCAACATGAAGAGAATCTTAAGTAACCTGTGAGCGCATGTGCAACATCTCATCGAATCATTTTTGATGTTTTGATTTCTTATATTAAAATATACAGGACATAGACATAAACATAAAGTAAAATATAAACATTCTCTATTGTGAAATCTGCCGTAAATTATAAATATAAATTTTAGAAGTTACGTAGATTTGGTGAGAATTGACGACATCAGAAAAAATTTTCAAAATGATAAAACCAAGTGTTATCAATTTCGAAACTGATGTAATATGGTTTATTGCCCTGGAAGTCTTTTTATTGCACGCCATTGGTATTTATGGTTTGCTGACCTTCAACTACTTGGAAAATCTGATGACTACATTTTGGAGTAAGTACCAAAGTACTTGTGCTTTTGTATACAGGGAAATTTAAGAAAACGACAAAATTTCTAAAATTTTTCTCATGCAGCTATTAGTGTATCAGGATCTCTTTTAAATATAATCTTTGATTCTCAAATGAATCAAATCCGAAATAATTAAACCCTAACATCTTTTTTTTAGCCATTCGCATTTTTCCGTACTGCAAAAGTATTAATAAAATCATTAAACTTAAACTACTAGAAATTAATTTGACACTAAATATATAATTTTATTTATAATTCGATTATTTCATTTTTTACCTCTGTTAAGTGAGCTTGACTACAATATTAGAGACTATTGATATTATTGAGCTTATTCTTTGAAATTAAAATGCAATTGTTAGGAATATATTCAACATAGGACACCATAAATACGCATTCAAATATAAATAACTAATATTGCAATAGAGACGAAACATTCAAACATTTTCATATTTAATAATCAAAATGCTAGGTAATAACAGGTAATTACCTTAAATTATCCTCAAAATTACTCTACGATCACAAAAGTTTATTTATAATCAAGCTAAATAAATGCAAATAAATTCTCCAAATAAATGCATTCAACGATAACAACGGAACTATTAGATAATAATTATCTGTGTAATTGATTTACATATATTTAGATTCTCGGTTAAATCGAATCAGTTTTCTGACTTATAATTCACCAAGTACAAATAAAAAATTTTATGAAAAATAAAAAAATCTCAAAATCTTCAAAATTTCTCAAAAACCTCTGCATACATCATATTTTGACAAATATATATCTGTAGAACGTTTTAAAAGTATCTCATACATTGTTAGAGAATTCCTAATTATTATATATACAATATATTAACATAAATGCATTCGTTTGTATTTTCAAGTAATCGGGATGTATTTCATATCCAATATCGGAGTATCTGGTGGCGCTCATCGTCTCTGGAGTCACAAGTGTTATAAAGCAAAGTTACCATTAAGAATCCTATATATAATATGCTATAGTGCAAGTGGACAGGTAAATTTTATTTGCTACTATAATACATCTTTACGTGTATCATATGTACAAATGCGTTAAATAGTTAATGAATAACTTTTGAAAATGATTCTAAATTTATACATAAAATCCCAAATTTTCTTTAAAAAAATCAATTTGATCAGAAAATTAGTAGATATTTTATCGATATTTCAACACAGTTGTATACATATGTAAATAATATTCTAATTGCTTTTAGAATTCAATATGCAGTTGGGTGAAGAATCATCGTATGCATCATAAATATTGTGACACTAATGCCGATCCTCACAATACTCAGCGCGGCTTCTTTTACACGCACATGGGGTGGGTGATGATGAAAGAGCATCCCGAATTTATTAAAAAAAGCAAACAGCTTGATTTATCGGATGTTTTATCAGATCCTGTTGTAGTTTTTGGCGAAAGGTAAAGTAAATTAACTACGAGTTTATTAACTATAGAAAATACATTGATTATTTTACATTTTTATTATTTTGAACAAAAGGCTCCAAATGACGCAAATAAATATATATACAAATATCTAATACTGTATTTATTATATTTTTCGAATACTTTCTCCTTTTTTTTATTCTTTCGAATATATGTATAATACAGTAACTTTAATCTTTTTAAGCAAAACATAAATTCGCTGATTTTCTAGTATAAAATCTAATATTTCCAGATTTATATGTATATATAGAAATGTATGCCGCGCTTAAATAAATTTCGAAAAATTAAAGTTGCATTTTTACAGATACCACTTGCTTCTTCAACTTATCTTCGGTTTCATTCTGCCAACGGCGGTACCGATATACCTATGGAATGAGACTTTAGGCAGGGCCATCATATCGCAAATATTTATACGATATGTGATTACTTTGAATTCCGTATGGACTATCAATAGCATTGCTCATGCGTGGGGTACCAAACCATACGATAAGTGCGTAATTTGAATGCATAATTATGATGGTACAATTTATGTTTATAGAGTTGCATCCACATGTCGCAAGAAGTAAATTGTGAATATTTTAATGTAATTATTTACTAGTTATAATAGATAACTCTCGACAAAGAATTAAATGTAATTAACGCCTCTGTGAGAAAGTGGATACATACTTGTCAGTAGCCTCAATGATTGTTAATATAATTGTAAGCAGGATTAATGTTAAATTTTATTACTGAGATACACATTTACTAACACAGTTTGTGTTTTTAGGAACATAAAACCATCAGACAACAATCTTGTTAACTTCATGACATTAGGAGAAGGTTATCACAACTTTCACCACGTGTTCCCGTGGGATTACAGA